CGTGTTAAGAGTGTTTGACAAAGAAATCTTAAATTATATAGGTTCGTTTTTCGTAGATCTTTATGGAAAGTTCATATTCATCCTGTCTATTTAGATGCTCCAACGGCAGCACCAGGATGGAAAGCAGCAGAAAAAATTGGGAAAGCAGAAACTGCGCCTGACAAAGGCCATACGATCTCTCTGGAAACAAAATCTGGGGGAGCGCAGTTTACAAAAGGTATATGAAGTAATGTTTATGGGCAGAGCCGTGCAAGTTTTTTATTAGGAGCATAAGTTTATTGAAGAGATAATATAAAGAAATATTCATAAGAGTCCCAAAGGCCTTTGGAGATCACGAAAACTTCCCTAAGGCCGATGTCAGACTTTGCGAATCGCGCGATTCGCTAGCGTCTGCGGTCGCGTCGCGGCCAGTGAATCACTCAATTGGCTGGTACCGCAACGCGACCGCGGACGCTAGCGAATCGCGCGATTCGCAAAGTCTGACATCGGCCTAAATATGCAAAAGGACGGTTGTGGGCACTTTGTCTGAAGAACAATTAGTTCCAAGTTTTCTTCTTGCGATGATTTTCGATGAAATGTCACTATTTTTTCGTTTTTATTGGATAACTGCCATTTTATGCCGCAGTTCGCGTTGCGAAGGCTATTTTGTTCAGCTTGCTTTAGGTAAAACCGGTATACAGACGTTTTTCGAACTCTAGAATGTTAGAGAACAATTTTCCCACCTCGCATATGTTTAACGCTGACCAAGCCATGAAACTAAGTAGATATCTCGAGGAAACTTGGGCTTAAGTAAAGCTTATAAGACATATTGGTTTCAGAACAGACTGAACTAGCTAAAAAGTGCGTGGCCGCGGTATGCAACAAAATGAAGGAAGTTGAGGCAGAATTGAACGGACTTGACGGTGCTGCTGGTGATGGAGACTGTGGTTCGACATTTGCGCATGCCGCAAAAGGTAATTGTCATGTCTTGCGACTGGTGAATAATTTTGAGTGAAGAGTACCACGGGGAAGTGTTTTTTGCACGCCGACTCATCTTATTCGGAAATAACTACGAATACAGCAAATGCCACACGACATTGACTTACAAATAAGTTTCAGCAATTGATGAACGAATGAAGAACACAGAACTAAAGAGCGCCCAACAACTGTTATGCAACCTTTCTGAGGTGTTCGAGCAGGAAGTTGGAGGCACTGGTGGTGCGGTAAGACTTCACCATACAATTACAATACGGAGACGAAAGTGAAAATACTAGTATGGGATTTTTTCAGCTATACGCTCTTATGCTAAGCGCAGCTTCCGAATCCTTTGCAACATCAGTAACATCTAAAGAATTTGGCAATGCACTAATGCGTGCATCTGAAGCTGTACAGAAATATGGTGGAGCCAAGCCTGGAGATCGAACATTGGTGATTTGATTTAGGACTTTGGCATGGATAATGGCTACTAACACGAACACTTCAAGACAAAAGTTTAGGTCGATTCGATCCACGCTGCCGTTGAGAAAGTTAAAGGTGGTGAGAGCAATTGGGACGTCATACTAGAGGTTGATCTCAATTGATGCTAAACCTCGCCATCATCACAACTATGAAAAGCTTTTTCTTAGGCAGCCACGAAAGCAGCTCAGTCGACCGCTCAAATGAAAGCACGCGCTGGACGAGCTAGCTACACAGCAAAAGAGGTATTATCTTTAGATGTTTTCACATCTTGCATCGGTGCGAAACGTGCGGATACCATCTATCCCACAATCGGTTGTGCGATCGAACGATCGTACCTACTGTATTATGACTGTAACCTCATGAACCCAACGTCAACATGGAATGTTGGAGCATGTTTAGCGCGCAGTCGCGAGCGTCTCTCCAATTGCGCGCATCTATCTTGTACTGATACTCTTCGCATTTTCCATAGTGTCCGACCAGCCGCAAATGCCAGCACGTTCAGTATGGGAGCAACATAGTGAGACCAGAAATTACTTTTAACACAGCCAAATTGGTTTTTTAGCCTCCCACAACTAGTAATATTTCGCGTTGAGATTTCGAACTAACTGCTAAATTAGGCGTTTGAACAAATAGGAAGCTTTTCCATAACCAAAATACAGCTTATAGCGACCACCGTCGCTTAATTCTCCAATAATTAGCCTTCGCATAAAGGTCACAGCGCACAAACTGACTTTACATTCGCACCGTCCTTGAACCACTCGCGATGAGATTGGCGTTTAATCTCCTACAAGAGGGGGAAAACAAAACCTGAGTGCCCTTTCTGGTTTGCAGAGAAGAATATAATATGGGGCATTTTTAATTGGAACTAGATTGTAATGATAACACAGGAGGCATTTTTTAGGTTCAAACTCGACCAGACGCGGGAGCAGTTGCTATTGCGTATTTCATGCACACAATATGGGATACTATCAGGCGTGGACACTAAATGAAGATAACAGACCTCGGAACGACGAGCTCAACATTAAATTGTCTACATAAAAACAATGGATAGGACAATTTACTTAATAATTAGTGTATATATAAAAATTATAAATTTGGCGTCGGCTATATATCTGAACGAGTGACAGTGTGTAGACCAGCCGTTGAGAGAATGCATAATGTTTTATAATCGAGAACCTGAAAAGATGCATTTGTTCTTAAAAAAAAGCGAATGATAGATAAGAAGAATCAAAAGATCTTTTCAATCCTGGCACGAAAGCCAAAACTCCTATTCAACTTGGAAAGCATTCTAGGTTGAAGTTGATATTCAGAGTTGGAAGTCTACTCGTAAGATGAACTTTTAACCTTGACTCTGAAAGTGCGTAGCGACTCGTCATACGTGTGATCATCATTTCTTGAGCTATTCTCTTTCACTAAAATTCGGCTACTGAACCAATTGAGAGAAATTTGCTCGAAGGAATACTTCACGGAAAAATCATGATTCAGCCATAATCACTGGCTTGAGACCCATCATCCACGATAAGAATGAAAAGAAAAATTGCATTTGTTTTGGTAAAAATTCGAAAAACCGAAAGGGCTGCTACGCGTTCAAAGTACCGCCGGACATCTGTCACAAATGCTGGCGACGGGGATGCTTCCACTTGGTTCTTGGAGTGCCTTCACTAGAAACTTTCTGGCCTTTCTGACTTATTGCATTCACATCTCACACTTCTACTCCATCCTATTCTATCGATCGATTTGTCTCTACTCTCCAAAATCGCGCGCTTTAACCCGATTCTTTCATTGCGTCGCCTGATACGTAGCCGCCCCAAGGCGGACTTTTCCATGCCCCGCCTTTGGCTCCGCCCGAATTACCTTCGATTGTCCATAGAATGGATTTTGTGAGTTTGTTTCTCTTCGGAAACCGAATCTTCATGCGTGAAACTTTGTGTGCTGTTTCCAGTGATCACAACTGACACATTCATGTTGAAAAAGAATGCAAGAGAATTCCTTCAAGAATTAACAACTAAGTACAAACATTGGTGAATGGCAAATTATAAAATGTTTCAAGAGGAATGTTCTCGTGTTGGATTTTTAAATGACAGAGCAAACACGGAAAACAGAAATCAGCCCAAAATCTCCCCAGGGAGTCGCCTTTGCAGTCCAGTCAGAATCTCATATCCCCATGATATCACATGCACAATGTCAGGAGTGCGACAATTCATCGGCTGGATCAAGTAGGGTGTACTCCCGCTATATTACTGGTTTTAACCCACTTTTAACCGCAGTACTGTACGAACCTCTGCATTTTTTCTCCCATTAATTGTATATCCGTTGTTTCTCGGATTTAAAAACTACTGATTTACTAATAATACCAAGAGTCTGACGATGAGAGCATGAAAAACACCTGGAGAAACAAGGATTTATCTCTGTACGTGTGATAACGTGGCGCACGCGGTCCATCGTTGTATCTCTAATGGATTTTAGATTTTTTTAGTTTCTTTTAGTCTCAATCACTCATAAAACGAGCCGTCATGTTAAGATGATGAAAAACATACCACTTGAATGTATTTTGTCATAATAGTGAGCAAAAAAAGAAGAGCAACCTTAAGCCGATGTCATAGTTTGCGAATCGAGCGATTCGCTAGCGAATCGCTGGATCCGAGCGTTGCGCCAGCGAATCGAACTATGTACCAGCGACTCAACACTGTTTGAAAGTGGCGGGACCAACGTTTAAAGGAAGGCCCGTCACTTTCAAACAGTCGAGTCGCTGGTACATCGTTCGACTCGCTGGTGCATCGGTCGATTCGCTGGCGCAAAGTTCGATTCGCTGGCGCAACGCTCGGATCCAGCGATTCGCAAACTATGACATCGGCCTTATAGAGAATGCGATAATGGCTATATATACCCGGGTAGCCAAGAAAAAACACTTTACTCCACGTCTAAAACGGCACTAATCTAAGGATTCACAGCTTCTTATTCTAGCATATAAAACTTATGTTAGACCCATGCTTGAATATGGTACATGCGTTTTCTCTCCTAGTAAGAAGGCCTTGGTGGACCGGATTGAGAGAGTTCAAAATAGCTTCACTAGGAAGGTGTTTCTCCGTTCATTAGGTTTTACTTACCGCAGCATTCCGCGTAGTATCATAAGGAACTCAGTGCTTAATTTAGACTCCCTTAAGCTTAGACGAAGAAAGAATGATCTTTTAATGGTTTTCAAGATTCTCCATGGCTTAGTTGATCTTAAATCTGGAGATTTCTTTAAATTATATCCGTCCTCAACAAGGGGTCAATCACTCAAAATTTTTCTTCGTCGACCATGTTCTTCCATGAGTAGAAACTTCTTCACCTTTAGGGCTGGGTCTGATTTCTCAAAAATTAGCAAAAAGAATACTGTGCCGGGTTCTCTTACAGGTTTCAAAAAGCTGTTAGATCGTTATCTTTGTCTCGCTAATTAATACTTTGTTACTCCTAGTTGATATTCATTTTTCTTTTTGCTATGCCTTTAGCTGTTGTTTCTTTTGGATTCCTTGAGATTTATTTTTCCGTTGTTTTGCTCTATTACATGTGTGTTAGCATGTAATAAATTTGAATTAATCACACCACGCTCGATTCAAACCGTATGCTCCTAACTGAAAATTGAGAAGCACATTTTAATCTATCAGCAAACGTCGTAAGAGCTTTCGAAGGGGTTTACGTAGTCCGAACTAATGTTCCCAAGAAACTATCCACCAGTAAATCGATTTAAGAAATTTCGTGCAAGCTCAAGGCTGGAGCAGTTACGGTAGACCTCTTGGAGCTCGTTGGCGATTGCAGATGACGTTATACATATTTTGAAGACGATAAGGGCAGTGAACAGGGCTTGCATCTGCGTATGTAAGGACACTGCAGGAATATATAGCTGGAGATTATCATGGAGCAAAACAGCGTAAGCGAGTTAAAGTCTGCTGATTTCATGAGCAAAGTGCCTCTTTTTTGGCCACCCCTGTATTTACACCCAAACAACACCTCCCCCCCCCACCGATCTTGCTTCGCATTTACAGCTGAGAAATAAGACGGATTTCAGACTCAGCGATTGCAAAGAGCAAGAATAATGGCGATGGCTTCGTCTACGATATACGATCTGTCAGAATTTCGACAATAAGACACGTGGCGAACCCTGTGACGGGCCGTAGATCACGGGGAGCCAGTCGCCTGTCACTCTTGCACTTTTGCAATAGCGACTGCGTAATCGCACAATCGCCGAGGCTAACATGCATCTGAAGACTAGCACCGGCTATGAGAAAAGGTTGGGTGGATGTCCTTCAGATGGATGACCACTACGACTGCTCTTCCCGACAAACTTACCCTTTTGGGGTGAAAATTAACAGTGACCGCTTATCAGACTGGAATCGTATTCACCCTCACCTTCATATTTACAATTGGAGCATGGACTTGAGTAATCGACGCAATTTCGTGGCAAAGGAGATCATAAGGAGACGCATAGAATAGGATTTTCTGAAACATTTCATTTTGGCATCAAACACTAACCACCATATTGACAAACTTACCCCGCAGTATGTCCCGACTGCTATATTGCCACTAATAATGCAGGCTGAAGTTATTGTATCGAACTGTTCAGACTGCGATAGTACAAACTCGTTGTTCCAGCTCAGCACATTATCCTACAAGGAAAATCTAAGGGAAACCAAATGTAGATGAAAAAGAAAGCCTTCACTTCGTAAACACATCTCCAGATCGCAACGGGACCAAGTGTGGAGGACACAACAAGAAACCGTTCCTCGTTCAATTCCGGCGGATCGGAACCTTCGCACTCACTAATTCTTGGTGTACGGAGAGTTTGATACGGTACGAACTCAAGAACAGAAATGGGTCCAGAGAATTTGATTTGCTTTCTAAAATGATGAAGCCGATTAGGCGATAAGCACGGATTTAGAATGTTTCGAAGAGAACAAAACGCTACTATTTCTAAGTAATAACCTCTGAACTTCCTTGGTATTTGTATCAAAGACAGATAGGAAGACGCGACCTGTATCAAAGCCAATAGCACTCCATCTGAGCTTTTCTGAACAGGTCGTCGATGATCGCGTCACTGTGCCTGGGAAATCATTCAGGGCCAAATCAGGAAACACATTTGAAGGGTCCTTCAAATCTACGACCTCATCAGAATCTTGCTGAAAAAATAGAAAAAAAAACTGAGAGAACGCCAAGATGGGTTGGTTCGCTTGGACAGAAGGCGAAATTTTCACTTTCACTCTTCGCAACAAGGACCCCAGGTCTACTTATCAGTGGTAGACCTGGCATCCCACAGAAAAAAGAGCCGCGCTGCAAAAAGCGGAAAAGCCACTTTCTATCCTAGCGAACTACACCCCGGCATGATTAAAGCAAATTTGGGCGCTCATCCGGTAAGGGGGGGGGGGCATTGTGATGCAACGTCAAGTGGCTGCCCTCACCCCCCACCCCCCTGAACTGGCTTCACTCCCCCTGGCTCACGGGGTCCCGTACTTCGAGAAACCTGTGCGCCAGGGGGAGTGTAGGCAGTCTAGGGGGGGGGGGTGAGGGCAGCCACTTGATGCCCCCTTACTGGATGAGCGCCCAAATTTGTGTAAAACTTAAAATAGCGACAAATTATGACCACTTCACTTCACGAGCACACATAAAAGATTTTTTGCATAATATGAAATGTACAACAACTCACCTTCAGTTCATGTACAGACAAACGTTTTCCAGATTCATAATTTATCCAGTACTTATGATTTATTCCACCGATGACTTTGTCAACCAATAAACAATGAGCAACCGGAGCTGCGGTTTCAATCTAAAAGCAGTTTCAGGACGAAAGCACTAGGAGTGCGATGGAAAAGAGAACCCGCTAATATGTATAGCAAAGCTATTTGAAAAGCACAATGCAATCTCTCGAAACTTCATGGCTGACCTGCTCTGCTTACCTTATTGGTCATTTCTATGTGAAGAGTTGGTGATATTTTGAATAGAGCTCCAAAATATCGACAAGGACAGAAATGTTCATTGAGCTCAACCCAACTAAAGCTTCAGAAATGAATTCATATCAGTAGCCTTGAAAAAAGAAGGTACTAACAGGGTCGCAAGAACTGCTAGGCATTCCAAAGAATTCTGAGCAGATACGTCAGCACATGATAGCTCGATCGAGTGACCACTTTTCAATGACTGAAAGGAAAATTATACTGTTGGAATAGATCAAACGATTTTGATGAGAAGAAAGAAATCTATCAACGCGCCTTTTCCGAGAGCAAATTTACCAGGTAAACCACTTTGTTTTCTTCGACAAACTGTAGTCGACCATAGGCATTAATTAAGCATGTATAAATGGGGGTGGACAGCTCGAGTGTAGACTCTAAATAATAAAAAAGAATAAATGTAGCGCAGGTAGCAAAGGTCATGCCAATGACAAAAGAAACTAGCCAGCAGCGGGCGACATGTACTTGCGAATGACGAGAATCTGGTTCGATTCGGGGAATGGCAGAAACTTTCTTTCAGTGAAATCAACTTCGTTCTCACCATGAAAGAAAAATATAGCTCAGCACTCATTGGGAGTCCCGATCAAAACAATAAATACTTACTACCGGTAAATCCAAAGGCAAAGCCATTATTCAAGCTTTTCCTTGGTCTGTTCTTTACTCGGTCGCTTATCCTCAATCCCCGCCCTCTCCGAATTGTCAGCTGCTTCTACTGCTTCGTGTAACTTCTGAAAACTAAGATGAAAATAGTTGATTTCGAAGAAAAAAGTTTGAGCTCTTTCAGACTTCTTCACTACTGCATCGGATGTACTGCACTACCTTTCAAAACAAAAAAAAAACGAGAAGAGCGTCGGGTGCAGACCATACACCACAAGTGACGACGGCCTCCAAGTAAATCTGGTTAGTAGTGGTTCATAGTGATAGCTGATTTTGGTAAATGATAGTTGTAATTAGTGACAACTGATAGAATACAACTGCAACAGGCTAATCATTTCATTGGCAGAAAACATTTACATTTTGTGAGGCCGTCACTTGTGGTGTATGGTCTGCACCCGACGCTCTTCTCGTTTTTTGAAAGGGGGTATAAGTATGCTTCTTACTATGATCAGCTTCGCCTATCAACCACGAAATTCCCTACTTCCTGGTAATCCGCCTAGACAGACGGGGTAGAGGGGGTGGACGGGTGGGCTATGTCTCGAGAATTACGAAACATACTTGGGATGGTAAGAAAGTCCTGAGCCGATTTTTCGAAAGCTCCAGAACTTTCGCTTATTGATCGATACCTAGAATCTGCTACGTGATAGATTATCGCTGTCGATCATACTTCTCCGCAGTAGGTATATATAGCCGGGTTGCCTTCTTTAACTTTAATCATGATGTCGATTCCACAAGAGCACTTTCGAGCGATCATCTTCAATGAATGGCGCTGCGGCACAGGAGCAGTGGAAACCGTCAACATCATCAGCATCGCATTGGGAAGGGACACCACTTCCATCATCAGTGCCAAGCTCTGGTTCGCAGGCTTCAGAGGAGGAGACACGGCTTCCGAAAACAAGTCAAGGTTGGGAAGACAGTGGAAGACTCCACCGTTCTCGGCGCTGTCGAAGAGGATCCGGAGGTTAGCACCCGCAGCCTTGTGATAAGACTCGGGTGCACCCATCCCACAGTCCTCGGTCCCCTCCACGCCCTCGCCACAGGAAAGTGCCGACTCGATGGATCCCTCATGTCTTGACCGATAGCACGCGGTTCAGGCGGGTACCCATTTGTCAGTTTCTCCTTCTTTGTCCGCACCGAAAGGAGTTTTTGGAAGGCATGATTACGAGAGATGAGAGTTGGGTCCTCTACGATTCTAACAAGCACAGTGCCGTGTGGCTCCCTCGAGGAGAAGACCCGCCGACACAAGCAAAATCGGACCTTCACCCCAAAAGCTGTCTTCTTTGCTGCCTCTGGGATTCGTGAGGAATGTTGTATTATGAGCTGCTCCCGCAAGGACATACCGCTACCGGCAGCATTTACGCCAGTCAGCTCCAGAAACTAGCGGACGCTGTTCAAGAAAAACGACCGAGACGAACTTCTGTCCACCTACTCCACGATGACGCCAGGCCCCACATAGCTAAAGAGACCCGTGCAAAATTGGAAAGAGCTGTTCTGGACGCCCCAGTTCCACTCTGTAGTGGGACCTGTAGTGAGTAACAATGGTGAATTATATTGTTGAGTAAATTCCATTGTACGCGGAATAAGAAGGAAAAGCAAAAAAAGAGTCAAACGGCTCAGGATTTTCCTACCATCCTAATACATCAGCTAGGTAGAGCCCCGCCCGCACTGGACGTCGTGTGCATTGAATGAAGGTTCTGGTGACGAAAGCTTCAAATTTGATTGCAAAACAGCCAAGAAACCGTGGAAAATGAGTGAGGTGGGCATTGATAAGCCAGATCGGATGAGGGACAAGAGACCTTCTTTTTTGCAGCCATTGTATCAGATGTGTCTTGCTGTACGCTACACCTCTATGAACCGTTAAAGCAACAGTCCAGGCAGGGTTTCAACTACTTGGTCATTAGGCGGTCAAAACATGCCCCAGCCCAACTAAAGTTTATAGGAAATGTCTTTAAGTTCAAAACCTACCTCTAAAATGCGCTGGAAGGGGTCGAAGTCCTCTTGGAGGGGGCGGATCACCCATAAAGAGGCGGATCGCCCAACATACGCTGTGCAGAGTCCGTGCTTGACTAGCGGTCGTTGCGGGACCGCCGCGCTGTATGAGGTCGATTCCATAAGAACGCAATTGAAGCGCTTCAATTTCGATTGCTGGCAAATAGTTATGTATTTGCAAGCATGCAGCTATTTGCCAGCAGTTGCAATTGGAGCGCATGTACTACGGGCAGGTTCGGACAACTCGTCCAACACACGTCTCCCTAAACGGCAGGGGGAGTCCCTGTCTAAGCCCCTGCCCGACGTTTTTTTCTACTTTTTCTTTCTCCATTGACCAACTTCTCACCTGCAACGTCATTATAGGTGGTCCTTACCCGCGAATTCGTTCCTGGATTGTTGCTTTAAGTTGTTTTCGTTTCAACGCAATCGGACCCTCAGATACACAGAGCGGCAAAGGATCCCAAAGGGCTAATTATGATTACGGAAGAAAGGAATTTACGAAAAGGGGGCTCACTACATGGGCGGTCGGGAGGTTATATAGCAGCCTTGATTAATTAATTCGATCAAATCCATCATGAAAAAAACCAAATGTGAACAGACTTGAATGAACACCATAACCAACTATGAGATAAAATAGCGTGTTTCCCGGTGTCACGTACCTGAACGTGATCGTTTTTCACCAAGGTGCACGAGCTCTTGCTTATTGATAGCACAGGTTTGTGGAGCGAGAACTCTTCGCAGATAGCTTGGTGTGATCACTACGTCAGCGAAATTGTCGTCAAAACCTGACTGACTGGAGAAATCTGCGGTGATCAGCTTAAAGAGCTGAAACGAATGAATTGAGCGACACTCGATGAAAAAAAAGGACTGGAACTTTACTGCTTTCGTCCACAATCCATGGTCGCGCTGCAGGGTGAGTACAATTTTGATCGATGGCTTTCTACTATCAGGCTTTGCTTACAATTAGACTTCATAGTTTCAGTGACCCAGGGAAACAAGGTTGAGCACCCATAGTACTACCATAAAAATTGAGATTTGACAGAACAGCAGTTCAATTAACACGCTGACGACAACGCAGGACATATACGTCCCGCACTTTGCAGGCCATGTTGGATAGCGTGGGACGGATGCGTCCTCCACCCATTTCATGTAATTTTTCGCGCATACCTAACCTTTTCTTTGGGTTTTTGTATTTCATTACTATTCAGTGCTATGTTCATTTACTTATTTATTTCAATACTCTCAAAGGTGTGCGCGATCACGAGAGGAGTACCACATATGAAAAACACCTAAACGATAAAACTCTAACATGACTATAAGCGACGTGGTCCAGAGAGAGATTAGGTATGCCTGATTTGGCAATTTCGGAGCCTGCGAAATCTTCAGTTTTCTATCTAGACGTTCTTCCTCTTCTAGGTACTTACTATCGTGCACTGGTTCGTCCAGTGCTCTATTTTCACTTACTCCTTATACTCATACATTTTCCTTAGCTTTTCCAGCTCATCACAGAAAAAATACTTGGTACTGTTACCAATTCAAACCCTTTTTTCTTATTAATGAGCGTTTGTTAATGGTAAAATGCGCCTGTCACAGGCTCAAGATGCTACATACCTTTCTTATCTATACGCCTCTACTGCATAAATCAGTAACTGTGTTACAATCTTTTTCGATTTTTGAGCTTCGAAAAAATGCTAGAAACAGCGCTGAACGCATGAGTCCCGCGCTCGTCGCGCTCGCAAAAACGCGCCCGTCATAAGCCCAAAGTGCTCAAAACGCGCGTTGTCGTCAACGTGTTAGGTTGACAATTATAGCTTAAAAGCACCTGTAGAATGCAGAAGTTGCCGAAAACCTTAACAATTTATTAAAGCTGTAACCACCGCTACGTGGTCTGTTCTTCACCTATTACCGACATTATTATCCGCGAGGTTGACAACACCTCTTCTCTGTGCAAGGGGAGGAAAACATTGCTTAGTTACGGTTTTATTATTCCTATAACAGGTCAACTGGAAAAATTGCTTCTTTGCACAAATGTCTGTGGAAGAGAAAGCGACGGATCATCCTTTAGGCCGATGTCATACTTTGCGATTCGCTCGATTCGCTAATCGAATCGCAAAGTATGACGTCGGCCTTAGAGGTCACACTAGCGCAATGACAGAATATGGCCTGACAGGCCTGGCAATATTAGGAATTACGCGAAGATTACCAGTACGTTTGTACATTGTTATGTTACACCTGCCTTTGGGGCCGTATGCTATTCTCCCCGAAGGGATAAGGGGACGACAATTCCTCTAAATTTCCTCTGTCTTCCCAACTGAGATTACCCTGATAATAGGTTTACATTAAAAGCATGTATGTGGGTTAAAGTAAACATGCTTGTTGGTCTTGATCACAACCAAAAAAGCATACCTGATGGTCCTTATAAGTGGCGATGTCGCTTAGAAAACTGCTTTGCGGTCAATTTTTTGGGATCCTTCAGAGCTTGCAGTTTATGTTCTGAGAAATGGACTTTTAAAAGCTGACGATTAAATGACTCCAAAACATACAGTCGAGATCCGTAAGTTGGGGTAGGCGTGTCACCGGAAGTGACGTGGACTTGATAGAAGGTTGCGTAGGTAAGTCGCTGCCAGCATGCTTTGCTGATATCTCGCGATATATATTGGAAGCACCTTATCCACATAGATT